ATGAGTAGTTGAATTCTATTTGCTAGTATTTTTGGACAGCTTCTTTCAAAAATGAGTCTGGGAAAAGGCCCTCCCGTTGATCGTCGATTTGCTCGAGCGGGCCCAGTAACGTCTCCATTGGAGACTTTGTTGTTACTGTGTCTGGCATATCGAATACTCTCGGTAGCTTGCCGGGCTCTCCGAGAGGGGCGGAGGAATCGAACTCGGGTCGGCCATGTTGGCCGCTTGTAAGGCGAACGCCCTACCCGCTGTGCTATCGCTCCAGCCCAGAGGGGCGGAGGAGTCGAACTCGGGTCAGCCATGTTGGCTGCGTGCAAGGCAAACGCCCTGCCGCTGTGCTAGGGCGATCTAGCTGCGACATCTGTCACCCCATTGATCGCCCTGGGCTGGAGCGATAGCACTTTTTTATATTTGGGTTTATTATTATTTTCCTCTTTCTGAAAGGGAGATCAAATGCCTCAGATTGCTCTGTAACAAGATTTTATTCCACTTATTTATACCTGGGCTGGAGCGATAGCACAGCGGTAGGGCGTTTGCCTTGCACGCAGCCAACATGGCCAACCCGAGTTCGATTCCTCCGCTCCTCTCGGAGAGCCCGGCAAGCTACCGAGAGTATTCGATATGCCAGACACAGTAACAACAAAGTCTCCAATGGAGACGTTACTGGGCCCGCTCGAGCAAATCGACGATCAACGGGAGGGCCTTTTCTTTCAAAAATAGTTCTTTCATTGCAAAATTGGAGTTGGTAATACTATTAGTCATGATGATAATGTATTGATAAGTAGACAACCATCTGCTTCTGCTGTGATAATCAAATGAGTTAATGTGTATACTAACACCTCACTGACAGTAATGTTCCACATATATACATATTTATTTTATGCCAGACATATATATATATGTATTAGATGAGTCAGCTCATATATACAGCTTAAGTTTTAGTCAAAGGGTTATTATTTGTGTATATCTTTTTTTAACATCTGGGTAAATGTGTTCACCTGTGCTAAGAATTATTCTAGTTGTGAAAAATGAAAGAAAATTATCACCTCAATTTCTGGTAGCTTATTTTATGTTAAATCATGTGAAATGTTTTTTTCAGTTATGAGGCTGATTTAATTTACCCAGAGCTTAGATTAGTGATATATGAGCTCAACTGAAAGCCAGATTATAAATCTTTTCAGCATGACATTTGGGTAAAGTAAAAAGATAATCTAAGTTTTTTTCTGATTTTCTCTCGGGGAAAATCATAAGAACCTTTCTCATTGAAGATCTAATCATCATCATTTTTGACCAGATTAGAAATGCTGTAGCTCTACATGAAAATGTGCTTAACATCTGTATGTAACATTTAATATCTGCTTGAAACCAGAAGGATGGAAACATAATACTAATATGTTTTAGAAAATGAGAGTAGTTCTTTTCAAGAAATAGTACAGGACAAAAGCATTCTACATTCAATTGCTGTATAGAACACTTGTTGGAAACCCAATTGCATATGTCAACTACCTGGGAAGCTTTTCAGAAAATTCTGAAATCTATGTCTCACCCCTGATACGTCAGATATGGCCACTAGAAGTAGGCTCAGATTTTGAATGTGTTCAGAACACCTCAGGTGATCCTGAAGTCCAACCAAGGCTGAAGCCCCATGATAAAGGAGTAGACTCAGCTGCAAGCGAGATTAAGGGGAATCTCTGGAGAAGGATCTAAGTGTATGTTGACGATGCAGATGTCTTGCCTCTTCTGAACTTATTCTCCCACATTTTAGAAAAGAGGGTTGAGAAGTTCCCAGAAATGAAGAAAAGTTCCAAATGGTAGTATAAAGTTGCATACAAAGCAAGTGTTTTAACCCCTGTGCTGTGTCTCCACACCCTGAACCTTCTATTTTTAGCACATGTTCCTGTACTATATGATGAGGATACTAAAATGGTGGGGTGTTTCGTTAACCTAGAATATACTTACCTCAGTATTACTGTGGCTGTTGGGATAAGCATATTAGAAAGTAAAAAAAGATAGAGACATGAGTCTGTAGGTTTGTTCCTAGGTAAATTTTTACTTCTTATGTGGAAGAACAATTGTTTTGTGATTTTTTTTGGTAAGGATCTTTTTATAAACCTATACATTCAAATCTATGTATATATGTTTGGGATTTTGAATTGTTTTTTACTTATTACCTGGGGATTAAACTGGATCAGCTGCATGCAAGGCAAGCACCTTAATCTCTGCACTGTTTCCAAACCCTGAACCTTCTATTTTCAGCACACATTTCTGCACTGCATGATGAAGGTACTATAATGGTTAACAAGATTCTGTACTGGCCAAGATAAATTAGTCCTTATCTTTGAATCATTGGAAATAAACAGGATAGTTCAAATAAATGTAATTTTATTAATCAGTGTTTATCAGAGAATCAGAATCAACTGGATAGATAGATAAATACTGGGTATAATCTTTATGAGAGTGTCCACTAAATAAACATTTTGTTTGTTTTGGGACCACAGCCCCTGCAGTACTCTGAGTTTATTCCTGGCTCTGCACTCAGTGGTCATTCCTGAGAGATTCCAGGGACTCTATGGGGTGTAGGGCATTGAATCTGGGTTGACCACATGTAAGCAAGCACCTTACTTGCTCTACTTCACTCGAGCCTCAATAAACCACATTTTAACAAAAATAATTTGTTATTTGTGACCACTGTCCTCATCTCTAATTTTCCTCCTATTAAATTATCTTAGTTAATTAATAACTAATTTTAGAAACACTGGTATTTTCAAAGAAAATATTTTATTTGAAATATCTATGGTGATAAACAGTAGGAAATTTAACTTCAAGTAGAGTAACTCAACATTTATCATCCTTTTTGGCAGTTTTTTTAAGTAGGAATCTCATTAAAAAGTTGAACTGAAAGTTTCATCATGATTAAAAATTTAAAATATCTACCTGTTACTTCACTTCCCTTTTATACTGTTGGTGTCATGCAGCCTCTATAATAAACACCATGCATTAGGTCTTAACCCACCTAACACACAATTGTCTCTTTTTGTCTCTCTCTCTCCCTCTCATGTCCTCTCCCTGCCGTCCTATTTTTCCACTTTATCACTTTCAACATAGAGATCTTATGTTTCTACTTAAACCATCCTTCACCAAGATTTAGGCGACAGCAACATTCCCTTCTCATTTCAAGTAGGTGATCATATTAATCAACCTGAGCATTAATTTTTCTAGGTCTGTGCTTAGTATTCTTCCTTCAGTCTCATGCTTTAGGCATCACTGCCACCAGCAATCAGTCATTAGTCTGCATTAACATTGCCAGAAAGATATTAGGCTGTTCTGTTGTATCAGTGTTCCAGATCTGAGAGTCACCTGGGGTAATCAGGAGCTCACCAGACCTAATGAATCAGAGCCTTCAGAGAGGAGTTATCTAGTTCAACTGCATTGTGGGCTTGGGTTTTGGTCCTTTGTCTATACCAGCATCCTTTAATCTTTTTGCGCCTGCAGACCGGCGTACATACATACAAATCTGCAAACTTTCAGTAGTAACCAGGGTTGAAGAGGAGTGGTTTTTCAGCCTTTCTACACCAACAGACTTGTTGGGTCTGTGGACTGGTGGTTGGAGACCAAATAGCTTGTCTATGCAAATAGCTGGTTACAGTTCATAAAATCTGTCCCCACAAGGAGATTTGGGGTGAACAAATTTCATTTTCAAAATAGTAGCCTTATTTACGTAGGTATTTTGAGTTTACCAAAGCAGATTTATTTTGAGGTCAAGGCTACGGGAAAAGACGAAATGACTCATGGGTGACAAAATGATCACAAGACAGAGACCAGTGCTCCAAAAAATTCAAAAACAAAACAAAACAAAAGTCCAAGTTCCATGTTATTATCCATTTATACTGATATTTACCTGTCCTTAGAATTAAGCTTAGGTGAACTATAACTGTCACATCGTAATTGAACAGAGTATAAATGAAGTTATCAAAGGAATCTGGTATAATACAACATTCTCCCCACCAATCATTTATTTGTTTGAACTTACTTCAATAGAATACCAACTATAAAGCAAAGGCAAAAGATCACAAAGATTCTATTTTCTTGTATAGTTCACAAGTACTATATTACTTGAGTTACGTTTACGTTTGGCCTTCTGGCAATTCATGCCTTGCCTGAGTGCCCACTGGGAGTTTTCTTTTTCTTTTCTTCTTCTCTTTTCTTTTCTTTTCTTTTCTTTTCTTTTCTTTTCTTTTCTTTTCTTTTCTTTTCTTTTCCTTTCCTTTCCTTTCTGTTCTTTTCTTTTCTTCTCTCTCTCTCTCTCTCTCTCTCTCTCTCTCTCTCTCTCTCTCTCTCTCTCTTTATTTTTACAATGAAGACATTTGTCTTTACAAGTCTTTCCTGTGTTGAAAATATGAGTATAGTCACAAAATGTAAACCAAACTGTCAGTTTGTTTTAAATGCTACAACTATTAGTATGCTAATTGTAACAGACCACTTTACACATTCTGGCCTTGCTTTGCTGCTCCAATAAACTGACTTACGTGCTAAAGACTGTGTTATAGTATTTTTATTCTTAATGTCTCATTCAAAAATATGTTTTTAAAATGCTGTGAAAATGTTGATTACAATGCTAGATAAATGATCAAAACAAAAGTTTCATAGATTTTGTTCTCTCTTGGTTGATTTCATTGAATTTGCTCTCTCTTCCCTTCCCTGGTCCCGTTACTCAACTGTCTTCTATACTGAGGTCATTTCTTCCTGGTGATACTTGTTGAAAATCAGTTGTACAAACAAAAATCATCTGTGAGGAGAATCATTGTGTTCTCACAGAGTAACTCAATTACCCCCACTATGTGCACTGAATAAATGATGATAGGAAGCAGAGAAGGGGCGATACCACTCATGGCAGTGAGACGGAGCATTGGAAATGAGCTCTGCATATATTGTCTATACTTTTGCCCAGGTAATGCTGTTTTCAAGATAACTGACGAATTACTTACTTTCCAATGCTGCAGGTAGCCCTCATGGAGAACCTTGTGGAAAGACTTGTGTGGAAGAAAGAGACAATCAGTGGTTAGGAGTCACACTTTCCAGGCAGCCAGGAGAAAATGGATCCATAGTGGTAGGTTATTGGCAATGCTTCATTGGCTTCATGAAGGCAGATATCGTGGGTGCGACTTTCATGCTATTTTGCTCTACTTTTGTTTTGTTCAGACATGTGGGCATAGATGGAAAAATATTTTTTACATAAAAACTGAAAATAAGCTCCCTACTGGTGTTTGCTATGGAATACCTTCTGATTTACGAGCAGAACTTAGTAAAAGAATAGCTCCATGTTATCAAGGTAAGGCATGATATTTTTTATGTTCTCTGATCAAAAGAAACATATAGATACCTTTAAACTTCCTTTCTTTCCCCTTGGTGTTTCCTTGCTGTCAGATTAAAGGTATCTACCCACTCAAAGCATTCTTTCTAAAATCCTTTTTTTCCCAATTATCATAATTCTAGTTTTTAAAAATGTCTTTGTGATTGGACAAATAGAAATTTTTATGATCACAGAGTTAACATGAAAAATTCAAGATCTGATAATTATCCACTTATGTATTCAATTTACTTATTTTTAAACTTTTGAGTCACTGTGAAATTAAAATTTATTTGAATTTAGTATAGGGCTGGAGCGATAGCACAGTGGTAGGGTGTTTGCCTTGCACGCAGCCAACATGGTCGACCCGAGTTCGATCCTCCGCCCCTCTCGGAGAGCCCAGCAAGCTACCGAGAGTATCTCGCCCGCATGGCAGAGCCTGGCAAGCTCCCCGTGACGTATTCGATATGCCAGACACAGTAACAGCAAAGTCTCCAATGGAGACGTTACTGGGCCCGCTCGAGCAAATCGATGATCAATGGGAGGGCCTTTACTTTTACTTTACTTAGTATAGGTGAGTCTGATCTCAGCAGATATACTGGGTGGCTGGGTGGGTTAGTCCCCAGTTTAGCTCTCAGGTTGAATCTTTGCCGGTCAGCTAGATTGCTAAGTAGGTCTTCCATGCACCCTGAAGTCTGCTTTGGGGGTTATTTCCCCCTCTCAAAAAAAAAAAAAGAGAATCTATCCTCCTCACCCTTCCCCACCCCCCCTGAAAAGTTAATAGTTATAGTTTATTTTGTTTTGTTTTTTAAAGACCTAGCTAGCAGTTTTTCTTCCTGGTAAGCAAACAAAAATGAACATCCTGATAGTTACTGTGATAGAGGTTTTCTTATGTCAGTTCTTCAGCAGTGAAGTTCTGCTCTTGTAAGTTCCAGAAATAGCCCTTCTGGGCACTTCACAATAAAAGACCTTCCATCTCCATGTGTTTCATGATTCAATGTGTTATTTTTAAGTAGGCAAAATCTAGGAAGCCAATTTTAAAAGAGCAAATCTCGACTAGAAATCACAAATCCTGCTTCTCTTTTTGGGTATTTGGCAGTTTTAAATGTATGTAGCATGATCTCCTGTGAAAAATGACAGGTGCGCACACACACACACACACACACACACACACACACACTCACACATACAGTATAAATACATGTAGTGTATATATAAATATATTTGCTATATTATAGTCATATTTTAAAGATCATAGAAGATTTGTGGGAAATGTTTAAAGTTTCATTAGTTACTACTTTTAAAAGGAATATAAAAGTGAGTGTAAAAATAATAGATATATTTGTAAGAATTTATAAAATGCAAAATTATGCATATTATAACTATTTTTAAATAAAATTCTTGATTGTTTTTCTATTTTAATTTAGATCATGCAAAAAAGTATGGAGAAAATTATGCATCATGTCAAGCTGGAATATCTAGTTTTTACACAACGGTAATGTTTACCTACAGAACCTTACTTAGTTCTTCTGAATGTTTGGAAGACTGATGTTATGCATTGAAGTAAAATTCATACTAAATAGATTTTAAATTTCTTTGTAATGACTTATTTTTACAACTCAATGTCCACATTACTTCCAGAAAATATTATTTAGAAGACTTTGCCATACAATAACTACTAAGGCTTAAAGAATTTATATTAAGAATTTAATGAAACAAGACTAGCTATAGTTACTTGTTTTGTGAAATTCACATTAAAACTTATTTGTAAAAATGCTTTCTTTAATTTATAAATTGACTTTTTAAAAATCAGGATGATTACGGCCAGATAGTTCAACAAGCAGGGCTCTTACTTGTACTCAGCTAACTGACCCAGGTTCCATCTCAGTCACCACATACGGGCCTCTGAGCACTGCCAGGAGTAATTGAGGAGCATAGAGCCAGGAGTAAGCTCTGAGCATAGCTCCACAAAACAAATAATAATAAGATAAAATCAGGGTTGTTAGAAGAAATGTAGAAATTTGTTAAATAGATTCGTTGCTTTTATGCTTTTGTATTTCACTAGACTGTTATCAGCTAGTTTTCAACTTCATCTTTTCCCTTTTGTTAAGTTTCTATTATCTAAGTTACCTCAGATTCCACTGGACTGTTTTCTTCGACAAAACCATTAAGGAAACTGTTCAGTGGCTTTTTGGAAGTTGAAATTAAAGCTGCATTTTTACTCTTTGGCAGAACATAATTAGCTTTAATAAATGCCATTCAGTTACTCAGATCTTTTTTCCCTTAAGACACCACATTGCTTTTCTCACAGAAAGTGTTCAGTGGTTCTACCTTTGATTTGAAAGTCCACTGATTAAATGTCTAATGAGTATTCCAGAGTTTTTAGTACCTAAAATTCTACGGCTAAGTTAAAATTTATTAGCCACCTTTTTTGTTTTCTAGTATGCTTTAAAATTCATAAAGTATTCAAATTCATTAAATTTATTATAGGAGATGCATTCCATTTAAGATTATATCTAGAGAAGGCTGGAGGTGGTGACATTAATCTTATTTAATGACAACCTGGTGCTTTTTTCCTTTTTTTACAGGATTCAATTGTAATGGGAGCTCCAGGATCAGCTTATTGGACTGGATCTCTTTTTGTCTACAATATAATTACAAATAAATTCAAGGCATTTTTAGACAGAGAAAACCAAGTAAAATTTGGAAGCTATCTAGGTACTATGAAAATGGACAAATACAGATTATTGCTATCTTTACAAATACTAGTAATGTAAAAAATGGAAATTGTATTTTCATATCACAGTCAATGTCAGTTAAAGGGACCATTTAGACACTGTTTTAGAATGTAATTATGAAACTTTACTTAGCTTAATATTTTGTATTTATGAAAGGTGACTATAATCATCAACCTGTGATTATTATGGTTAATGTATCTTAATGCAATTAACACATTAGTTTATTAGTAGCTTCTATTAAGAATTTCCCATAACCCAGTTACACAGATCAGCTAATTTTATCATGTATGAGGAAGTACAGTTTGTAAGAGATCACCTTAAAGAATGTCAGTTGGTCTGCAGACAGCATTCTAAACGAAGGATATTATGAAATATTTGCCTCTAAAAACAGATCATTGTCCTTGGCCTCTTAAATTCTTAGATTATTTCTTTCAATTCCCTCTGTCAGCCCCTGAGTTTTTAATAAGCCATCACTAAGATATTTACAGTCTATATCTGTATAGAAACAAAATATTTCTCTGGCAGTAATTCTGGTTAAAGTATAAGAAATGTTTTTTCTGTAGATCCTGAGGAAATAGACTTGTGAAAATCATAGGTGCTTAAAAATTGAGAAGTATATACTCAAAAATAATGGTAAGAAAAGTCAATATTTTCCCCATTTAGAAAGAGTTTATTTTCAAACAAGGAGTTCTTTGAAAATTCCACATTTACCTTGTTTATGGTTCAAAGATATCTTGAAGCAGCATAAGAAATGTAACTTGGTATCACACTTTTTACCACATAATAAAAATATTTTATTCCTTATAAAATGTTATCATTATATTGTGATTTCAGGGCACGAAAGTTGAAGTTTAGAAAATATTAAAGTATGGAACATTTAATTTTATCTTCTCAAATATTTATTGTAGTTCTGGAAGCTAGCATATTTACTACACTGGGACAAATGAACCAACTATAAATGTTCTATCTTCAGTTTATAGGACTTGGAAATATAAGCTACATAATTAGTTCGTTTCAATTTTAACAATTTCTTTATGCATGGAAGTAACCAATTATGAATATTAGTATGACAAATGCTCTTAAAGCTGTTAATGTGATTATTTTCAATTCAGTTTCATTTAATTCTATGGGTAGATGTGTGATAATATATATTTCTCATTGAAAATGAGTCTCCTACTTTTCTTTATTTTCTCGAAGGATACTCAGTTGGAGCTGGTCACTTTCGAAGTCAGCACACCACTGAAGTAGTTGGGGGAGCCCCCCAACATGAACAGATTGGCAAAGTAAGAGCTACATTTTCATTTTTATTTTCAAATGTTTTAGTAGGCTGCTGAGAGAGTTTGCAAGACAGAATAAGATCGTAAAGGAGAAACTGCAAAAATTCTAAGGAATGAAAATGAGAAATGAGGGACAGTGTGCTACATTTAATGGAAATGCTATAAATTGTGTGACTTTTAGACAAAATTTAGCTGAAAAGCTTAAAAAGAATTATAGCAGTTAAATGAGGTTTCTAATAGAATTCTCAGGGAATATATACATACACACATATATGCCTTTACAACCTGCATTTGAAAGAAAATGGAAGCAGCTACATATTTTGTGGTAATACTAGGAAAATAATATTTTTAGTTATGATTTATATTATCTTGTGTAAACTTCAATCTCTAAATTTTTGAGCCTTTGAAAAGTACAAAAAGGGCTGGGAAGATAATTCTGAAGACCGTAGCACGTGCTTTGCATATTTGAGTCCCAAGTTTGAACCCCAGCACTATCTGGTCATCCACGCAACTAATAACCCCTTAGTTCTTAGAAATAATAATATTAGGAATATTATTCGGAATAACCACTAAGTCCTGCAAGATGTGGCTCAAACAGAAAGAAAGGAGGTTTATTTTGTAAGGAAGGTATATAAGTCCCTAAATCTTATATTACTCATAAAAATATATTTTTTTAATTTGGGTAACTGCAAGTTATGAAAATTTATATTTCAATGAAATGGACAGTTTTTTTAATGTGATAATACTGTTTTCTATTTTTTTCAAATTGTAGGCATACATATTCAACATTGGTAAAAAAGAACTAAATATCATACATGAAATGAAAGGAAAAAAGGTAACATGTCTCTACCTCTGGTATCACTAAGAACTTTTATGAGTATCTGTGCCTTTTTCTCAGTGACTGAATCTGGTTTGGTTTGGCAGCTTGGCTCTTACTTTGGAGCTGCTGTCTGTGCCGTGGATCTCAATGCAGATGGCTTCTCAGACCTACTCGTGGGAGCTCCCATGCAGAGCGTTATCAGAGAAGAAGGAAGAGTGTTTGTGTACATCAACTCCGGCTCGGTATGTCCATTTGCCCCCAGCCATACAGGAAACCATTTTTAAAATTATGATCAAAATGGAATCATTTCTTACTCTAGAATTCTGATAGTAAATATTTTTAGGCTTATTTGATGATGAAAGCAAAAATTCTGGTAGTATACATTTGTTCTAAAAATAAGATGTTGCATTTTGTCTATCACCTTTTAATATCACTTTTTTACTGGGGGGGTGCATACCTGTTTTTTTTGGCAGGGTATTTTAAACATGGTTCTGTACTTAGGGATTACTAGTAGAATTTGGGGGATCAGATGCAGTGCTGGACTGGAACCTCTGTTGACTGTGTGTAAGACAAACACCTTATTGCTATACTAAGTCTTTACCTCGCCTTGTTTTTATATACCCACATGAGAGTCTACAATATTTACTCTTCTCCCTCTTACTTATTTTGCTTAGCACAACAAATGAGGGATATTTTAGAATAGATACTGATCATTTGACAATACAATCTAATGATCATTTGACAATACAATTTAAAGATTGCTGCTGGTTTTACCAGTGTAGATTTTTTTTAAATTTTTATTAGTGAAACACCATGAGGTACAGTTGTAGACTTACAAATTTTTGTGCTTGGGTTTCAATCATAAAATGATCACGTACCCATCCCTCCACCAGTGCCCATTTTCCACCACCATGGATCCCAGTATCACTCCCAACCCTCCATCCCCCCATCCCACCCTGCCTCTGTGGCAGGGTATTCTCTTTTGTTCTCTCTCTCCTTTTGAGTGCTGTGGTTTACAAAAGAGGCCTTGAGTGGCAATCTTGTTCAGTCTATTGCCTACTTTCAGAATGCTTCTCCCATCCTGGGAGGATCCTTCCAACACCCTTTATTTGGTTTTCTCTTCTCTATCTGAGCTGCCTTTTCCCCTAGCATGTGTGGAAATTAAGTATACAAAGAAAGATTTCATTTGTAAAAAGATTATACATTCTAAAAGGTATAATTTGAATCATCAAAGTCACTTTTTATTTATTTTTAATTTTTATTAGTGAAACACCATGAGGTACAGTTGTAGACTTACAAATTTTTGTGCTTGGGTTTCAATTATGCAATGATCAAAAACCCATCCCTCCACCAGTGCCCATTTTCTACCACCATGGACCCAGTATCTCTCCCACCCCCATCCCCCATCCCACTCTGCCTCTGTGGCAGGGTATTCCGTTTTGTTCTCTCTCTCCTTTTGGGTGTTGTGGTTTGCAAAAGAGGCATTGAGTGGCAATCATGTTTGGTCTATAGTCTATTTTCTGCATGCTTCTCCCATCCTGGGAGGATCCTCCAAACACCCTTTATTTGGTGCTCCCTTCTCTATATGAGCTGCCTTTTCTCCTAGCATGTGTGGCTGGCCTCCAAGCCATGGAGTAAACCTCCAGGTACTTATCTTGGCTATTCTTGGGTGTTAGTCTCCTGTTTTGTTATTTTATGTTCCCCAGATGAATGCAGTCTTTCTATGTCTGTCCCTCTCTTTCTGACTCATTATGCTTAGCATGATACTTTCCATGTAGTACCACTTGTATGTAAATTTCATGACTTCATCTTTTCTAACAGCTACATAGTACTCCATTGTGTAGATGTACCAAAGTTTCTTTAACCAGTCATCTGTTCTCGAGCACTCAGGTATTTTCCAGATTCTGGCTATTGTAAACAGTGCTGAAATGAACAAACAAGTGCAGATGTCACTTCGACTATTCTTTTTTGCCTCTCTGGGATATTGTCCCAAGAGTGGTATTTCTGGGTCAAATGGGAGGTCAATTTCTAATTTTTGGAGAATCATCCATTGATCCTTCAGATTTATTTTTGGGTTTCCATCTCGTTAATCTCTGCTCTGATTTTTATTATTTCCTTCCACCTATCCAGATTGGTCTCCTTTTGTTGGTCCTTCTCCAAGCTCTTAAACTGTGAGGTTAGGTTATTTACATGGGCTCGCTCCTCCTTTCTGAAGAATGCTTGTAGAGCTATAAACTTTCCTCTTAACACAACTTTTGCTGTGTCCCATTAGTTTTGGTAAGTCGTGTACTCATTTTTATTCGTTTCTAGGAATCTTTTGATTTCTTCTTTGATTTCCTTTCTAAGCCACTCGTTGTCCAATAGTGAACTGTTTAATTTCCAGGTGTTTGATTTAGTTTTCTGTTTGTGTATGTGATTTACTTCTAATTTCAGCACATTATGGTCTGAGAAGATTGTTAATACAATCTCTATCTTCTTAATTTTATGAAGGTATGTTTTGTGGCTCAGCATGTGGTCTATCTTGGAGAATGTTCCATGCACACTTGAGAAGAATGTGTAGTCAGCTTTTTGAGGATGAAGTGTCCTGTATATAACTACTAAGTCCCTTTCTTACATTTTTCCCTTAGATGAACTATGTCCTTGCTAAACTTGTGTCTGGTTGATCTATCAAGGGGTGATACAGTGGTGTTGAAGTCTCCCACTAGTATTGTGTTGCTATCAATGTCTTTCTCCAAGTCTATGAGTAGTTGTTTTAAGTACTTTGCTGGTCCCTCATTAGGTGCATATATATTTAGTATTGTAAGTTCTTCCTGTCATACAGATCTCTTGATCAATAAGAAATGGCCTTCACTGTCTCTTGTGACCTTCTTTACTCTGAAATCAATGTGGTCTGATACTAGGATGGCTACTCCAGCTTCTTTTTGGGAGCTGTTTGCCTGTAGGATTGTTTTCCAGCCTTTAACTCTGAGCCTGTGTTTGCTTTGACTATTGAGATGTGTTTCTTGCATGCAGCAGAATGGGTTCAATTTTCTAATCCATCCTGCCACTCTGTGTCTTTTAATTGTGTGTTTAGCCCATTGACGTTGAGAGAGATTATTGTTATGGGGTTATGTCCCATTTTTCTGTTGAAATTTAGTGTATTTGAGAGGCCTATTTTGTCTTACGGTAGCCCATTTAGTTGTTCTTGTAACCATGGTTTTGAGTCTATGAAATTCCTGAGCTGTTTGTCTGTGAAACTGTGTGTTGTTCCTTATGTTGTGGATGAGAGTCTCACTGGGTAAAGTATTCTTGGTGAGGCATTTATTTCATTGAGTTTTTTCACTATATCCCACCACTGTTTTCGGGCCATGAGAGTTTCATCAGACAAATCAGCTGTGAATCTTAAGGATGCTCCTTTATAGGAAATTTCTTTCTTTGATCTTGCTGCTTTCAGAATTTTGTCTCTACCTAAGGTTTTGGTCATTTTGATCAGGATGTGTCTTGGGGTATTTTTATTCAGATTTCTTCTAACTGGTACCCTTTGGGCCTCCTGAATTTGATCACATATTTTCTTTAGCTCTGGAAACGTAGCAGTGATGTCTTTGACAGTTTCTTCTTCATTAGGGTTTTCTTCCTGTCCCTCTGGGACTCCAATAATTCTTATGTTACCCCTCTTGGCTTCATCACGATCTTCTTTTGCCATCTGTTCCCAAATTATGAGTCTCTCTTCCATTTTCTCCTCTTTTCTGAAGAGTCTCTGGACTTCATCTTTGAGCTCACTGATTCTGTCCTCAGCAGCTGTTAGTCTGCTGCTGAGGACTTCCACTGAGTTTTTCAATTCGCCTACCAGGTTTTTCAGGTCTAACATTTCCGTTTGCATTTCCCTCATTTCTACCTTCAAATCCTCTTGTCTGTCATTGTCATTGGTTTCCATTGTTTCTTTTAGCTCCCTAAGCATCCTCAGTAGCACCCTTCTAAATTCCTTGTCAGAGAGGTGGTCTAACACTTCATTACTGTTGGTGTCTTCTGGCTTAGCCTCTTCAATAAGAAAGCTTGGTGGGCTTTTGAGTTGCTTTACCATTGTGACCAGTGTGATTTAGACCTTAACGCTCACTGTTACTATTCTGCTTGGGATGCAGAATGAATTGAGATGGACTTAATGAATTATTGGCTAATATGTTTCTGGTGGTTAAGCTAACCTAGTGAAAGTTCCACCTAAGAGGGTAACTTATGGTTCCTATGGGATATGTAGGGTGAGGACAACTCTGGAAAGGGGCCCTGTGGCCAGGCGGGTACCTGGGTGAATGAGGAGAGTGCCCAGAGCAGTTCAGCTTTGTTTTCGTGCAGTGTGCCTCAATTCTCGTCCCCCACAGACCAAGGGTGAAAACCGGCCGTTCTCAGGGGACCTAGTTAGCCATGCAGGCCTGGGAAGGGGCCTTGCAGCCGGGCAGGTACCTGGGTAAATGAGGAGCGCAGTGTAGATTTTTAACATTAAATGAAAATAAGAAATTGAAAGGCCTAAAAGGTCTTTGACCTGTTCTTTAAAGAGAAGGAACAGGTGTATGGGGAAAAAAATTGAGGCAGGGTTTTCAAGTCAGATTCAACAAAATTAATTTGCTTCAAAAAAGTATTTAAAATTGTATTGGTCAGTGGTTTCAGGGCATGAAACATTTTCTTACATTAAGAATCAGACTAAATACAAGAGCATAAATACCAGCACCATTATAAACACGTTATCTTAACAATTTGAAAAAAAGTTTTAAAAAAGTTTAAAAAGAATCATACTAAATGCTCCCACTTAAGAGAAAACACTCATCAAAATTTCGAATATAGAGCAAAAAAGTTATGTGTTATTGGGATTTTGCAAATGTTTTTATCAAACATAGCTATTTTCTTTCATGGACAGTATCACATGTCATAACTGGTCTTCACTTGCTATACCCACATTCTCCATACTTTTTCTACACAATTAAACTGTAGACAGTATTTCAAATAAGAATACTTTAAATAAGAATATAAAGTAAGGTAATGTATAATTACTTTTGCATTAAACTTTGAAGCAATTCCAATATAAATAGGAACTTTTATACAATATTGCACTTTAAAAGGAAGAAACAGTTTAACTGTCTATATTGTCTTCACTCTTATTCTGAGGCACTGCTTTTGAGCATTTGGGTGTTAATTTCATAATGTCAGCTCTTAAAATTCCTAACATAGATGTAGATAGTACAGATGTTAAGGCATTTTCCTTGGCCCCAAGTTTGATTGCCAACACTGCATAGGGTCCCTCTAAGCACTGCTAGGAATGATCCCTGAGCACCATCAGGTGAGTTCCCAAAATCGAACAACAAACAACAAAACTTCTGGCATAGATTGTTTTTCCTTTGTTTTTATTTTCCTCTGATATTCTATTTCTAAACTCTAGAATGGCACTAACAACTATCTAGCGTATTTATTATTTTTTGTTGGTGTCTGTTCTTTTATTAGAGTATAAATTTTGTGTGGTAAGATTTGGCTATCTGATTTACTGCTGTTTTCTCAGACCTTGAAAAAATCCTGGAGTAGCTGGTCAGTAATTGTTTTTAAATGAACTCATAGTCTGTCTTCTACCTCCTTCTAATCAATTAGCTCTCAGTAGTTCCCAAGAATTCTTGGTCACTATTCTTTGTAACTGGAGCATACCTGAGGAATGATTACCACCCCATTTCCCCCTTGAGACACTCTCCTTCTTTAATGACAAGATCATTTCTCATCTTTTTTTCTGTATCTTTTATCCTCCCTTGAGCCTCTTCTCACTTTCCTCCCCTGAATTTAGGTATTTACCTCAAATTGAAACTCTTTTTCCCTTATTTCTTTTATATACCCATTCACTGCTTTTGGGGTCACTGACTGGTTTTTGTAAAGTTGATTCCACAAATAAGTATTAAAAATAGAAATGGCATTTTATGTGTTGAAATGTAATGTAAGTTATAAAAGAATTGAAAGTGTTCCTAGTTATGATATCAGGGACCTTAGACTCTAGAAAAGCTACAAAGAGTAAACAAATAAATACAGCAGAGTAATTAGTATAGTTTTTATATACAAATTAAAGAAATATTTCACTTTCAGTCAAGAAGTTTTTGAAAAGATGCAGTATTCAAGAAGATAAGTATTGAAATATTTTAGTTGGAAAATAAAAAGCAGTAAAATGCATTTTGTAGAAGAAAGTGTATGCTTATAAAATGAATAAAGTTGGGAAGAAATTATCTGTGATAATTAGTGCATGATTTTTTTTTTACTTGAGAATAACATGATCAGAATTTAGAAAGAAATCTGTAGCTGTGACAGCAGCTTATTCTTGTATCACCATTGATTATTTGACTGTTAACAACTACCTTCAAACTTCAGTGTAATTCAACCGATTCATGTTCTATTGCTGATTCAGTTATGTCAGTCCTCAACTCAGAAAGCTTCACTGACTCCTTGGGTTCCCTAAATGCAAAGCAAATTTCCACTAATGTAAGTCTAATATCATGAGACTCCAACCTGATATCTGGGGAGCCATCTACGTATCATTATATCATTTATTATAGTGAAATTTGGGGGAATAGGTATTTTTGTTAAAATATTTTATGAAAAATGAATAAACATTTTTAAGTAGCCACTTAGAATTTCATCTTCTTTATGAAATCTCTACAGGTTCTCCTAAGCAAACTCTCCTTTCTGAGATTTTTATATGTCCATGTTTAATCTTTTCTAAAAGAGTGATCTTCTTTGGAAAAAGGTATCGTGTACATGTGGAAACTTGCTCCCTGGCCTCATTCTCTCTGCACTGTGCATTACCTTTAGTAGGAACTCAATAAATATTTGCTAAATTGAATTATCAAAATGATTTATTGGATTTTAAAGGCTATGGGTCATGAGTTTGACAGTTTTTTATGTTTTCCTAACTCTAATCACAATACTGTGTGTGTTGACATAACTTGATAAATATTTATTGAATTGAACTGCGATGTGTGTACTTATGCCCAGTTTGTAATTTCTTCTACTTTTTAAGGCATTAGAAAAAAATCCATATCCAATTACAATAGTAAATCATGTGTAAAGTTGTCAGTTTTTTAAATGATACCTTTTCTCCCCTTTCTGTCTAGGGAGCAGTAATGAATGAAATGGAAGTAGTACTTGTTGGAAGTGACAAATATGCTGCAAGATTTGGAGAATCTATAGCTAATCTTGGTGACATTGATAATGATGGCTTTGAAGGTAATTATAAGTGTATATATAATTTGGTATGAGATTTCTACATTTATAACAGATAAGAATGAAGAGAATACAGTTAGAATATTTTCAATGTAGAAATTGGAGTTGGAATGGATTTTAAGATTTTTCTTTTTTTTTTACCTGACTTCTCAGTTGTCAGCTATTGATCGTTTCTGTTGTTAATAGAATGATACTTCCTCCACCTTATTTCATATATTCTAAGGAACTGCTGACTACAAGTTGCATCACTGGTTTATGCTTACCTAGAAACTGCCTATTAAACTGTAACCCATCAGTGTTTTAATAGAATCTTGATTTCAGAAAAGTTGAAATGTGGTTCACTTGGTATTGCAGTTTCATACGGCCATTCCACTTAATTATCAGTATAATAAAGACATAGGACAAAACCCAAAAGAGCTGGAGCAGGAACTAGGAAGGCTCCTGCCGTGGCAGGTATTCTTTATTAAGTTGCTGCATTGTGGGAGAATTTTGGTAGTCCCCTAGACTCTAGACTCTTGAGCAGCAGTGCAGTGGCAACCAGCAGACTCAGGTAGTGACCACTTACCTACCTTGCGCAGATGATTTCAAGATTGAAAGCGATGGGTTCATTAGGACTGTGCTGTTGAAGTCTCCCTATCACAGTTTGCTTTTACCATTCTATGGAGAATCAAATTTGTTAAATGGCATAAAATGACAAATGGGTGGGGGGGGGGTCGTTGATTTCTTCGAGCAGGCACCAGTAACGTCTCCTTCTTCCTAGCCCTGAGATATTAAAAGAGCCATTTCAATACTCTTTAAGGATTAGGAGAATGAGACCCATCATTGTTACTGGTATTTGGCATATTGAATACGACACAGGAAGTTTGCCAGACCCTGTTGTGCGGGCAGGATACTTTTGGTAGTCTGCCAGGTTCTCCAAAGGACAGATAATAAATGTTGTGCGGCCGCAAATGTGGCCATGCGTTTCCGGGAGCTGTGACGCCTACCTACTGGAAGATGGGGGGTCTGGTTGCAGAAGGCCCAGTCCTGATCTGAGTAGGCTTGGAGACCTCAGCCCCGGGACCCACATGCCTGGGTTCCTCTGCCAGTTCTTTCATGCTTGAGGCCCATCCGGACGTGTAGAGAGTGGTCCCAGCATGGCTGTGGCAGGCTCCGGAGGTCTTCAGCTGCTGGGGCTCTGCTCGGGGCAGAGGGGGGAGAGAAACTCAACCCTCCCCCTCCAAGGGGCCCCAATGAGGACAGCCAGGTGCAGGGGCAGGAGACTCTGCGCTTATCTTCTCTGGGAGCTGGGTTTTATAGTCTCTGCATCTTGGCCGTTGATGGGATTAACCTGGCACTTGCAGCAGCTGGTGGGTATGATGCCTACCTACTGGAAGATGGGGGGTCTGGTTGGAGAGGGCCCAGTCCCAATCTGAGTAGGCTTGGAGACCTCAGCCCTGGGACCCGCATGCCTGGGTTCCTCTGCTAGTTCTTTCATGCATGAGGCTCGTCCGGATGTGTGGAAAGTGTGTGTGTGGGGGGTGGGGGGGTGTAAAGTGTTATTTCCAGAGTTCCAGAAATAAGTATACTTGATATTATTGAGATTTAGAATTATGTCTGGCAATTGATATATTAGCTAAGAACTTACTTGGATACTGGCAATCGTGAATGAATACTATAAACTCTTTCTTGTACCCTCAACTTCTTACTATGCCTGCATTTTTTACTCTACTTCAAATGGTTAAAATGTGTTACTTTGGTGAGGTCTCAAATGATAGAGCACATGCTTTGCAAATGAAACCCTGGATTGAACATCAGTACTCTATGCCACCTCTATCAGAGCAGGTGTGACCCACATAGCAAGAGTGACAAGAAGCAACCTAAGAAATACAAGAATAAAGTCAAGAAATTAATTAAAAATCCTATTTAATGTATACTATAATTATGTTATGCAGCTGTAATTTGGTAATACAGTACATTATAATTCCTAGAGTTATAATTTTCAAAACAAAAGATAAAGAATGAATATTTTATAGTTATGATGATACATGTTACATTTCAAAAGTGCTGTAAAATTGTATGACAAATATTATATTTCATAAATGATAGTCCTGTTAAATTTATTGAGCACTTTAATGTCAGGTATTCCAGGTCAGATGTAGAGTATGTGTCACATCAGATGCACATGAAATGAAATAACATTTTTTATAAATTTTATAATAAAACAAAACACAAGATTATTTTATGCCTTAATCTTTTAAAGGGTTGCTGCGATAGCACAGTGGGTAGGACCTTTGCCTTGCATGTGGCCAACCAAGGTTTGATTCCTCCGTCCCTCTCAGAGAGCCCAGCAAGCTGTTGAGAGTATCCCACTTGCATGACAAAGCCTGACAAGCTCCCTGTGACGTATTCAATATGCCAAAAAACAGTAACAACAAGTCTCACAATGGAGACGTTACTGGTGACCGCTCAAGCAAATTGATAAAGAACGGGAGGACAGTGGTACAGTGAAATCTTATTAAAGAATTCATTTTTAGGGTCCTACCTTTGATGGGGAGGTAGAGTGGTAAGACCCAGCAGTGCTCAGAGGCCTCTCCTCCCTCTGCTTTGGGGATTGTGTAGTGCCAGGAATTGAACCAGGATCAGCTGCATGATAGACACGCATCCTTACCCCTAGACTCTCTCCCGTCCAGGACCTTGTCTAGATGCATAAAACCATATTTACATTCCTGTTATATCTTTGCCTTGCTTTTGGGTCCATCTACATCTTGAAGTATGGAGGACGTAGCATATGTGTTTGCACACATGAGATAAAACATGTGTGTGTTTGCATACATGAGAAATCATTTTTGTGGCATCCAGGAATACCCTGAATTATTCTTGTAATTAGAGTTATAAAAATATCATGGATAGTAAGCAGTTTCCATATCAAAATAGTTCTAATACAGAGGAAAATACCATGCAGTTTTCTAGAGCTGTGATAGACAGACAGAAAAGCATGTTATGTTTCCTAAGCTCTGGAAGAGAAATTTAGTGAGGAAAGCACTCACTGTGTGGTTTCGTGGAGAGCATGTGGGAACTGAGGTTCCAAGCAGCACTTTTCCTGAAAGTTCAACACATAAAGGCAATATATTTAGAGGTGGAAAATTATTCAAGATATTATTTTTGCTTTGCATAGTTTTTTTGCAATAAAATAAATTTTATTTTATTTAGTTTCTAATCGCAGCACATCTTGTATTTAGTTGGAGATTTTGCAACTAAATTGATGCAGATTCATTTCAGGGCATATCATTTTCTGCTTTGTCCATTTTTTAAATTTTTTTATTGAAAATTTTATGATTGATGTGATAATATTGTGTAAGTTTAAGCTGTAGCACCTTAATTATGCATGATTTACGTATATTTTACAAATGTTTGCTATACTAGGTATAGCATCCAGTGTTTTATATATTTATACTTTTTCCCTCGTGATAAAATTTTAAGATTTACTCTCTTAATGGGCAGGAGTGATAGCATAGCGGGTAGGGCGTTTGCCTTGCATGCAGCCAACTTGGGTTCAATTCCTTTGCCCCTCTGAGAGAGCCCAGGAAGCTACAAAGAGTATCCCGCCCGCAAGGCAAATCCTGGCAAGCTACCTGTGATGTATTTGATATGCCAAAAACAGTAATAATGTGTCTCACAATAGAGATGTTACTGGGCCCACTCGAGCAAATCGATGAACAACGGGAGGACAGTGTTACAGTGCTACAGTGCTGCTCTCTTAATAACTTATAAGAATATTTCATGTAGTATCAATATTTTTAATTACACATTAACATGAATATTTTATGTTAATTGAATGTTAAGATATAAATATGTTATATATGTTGATTTTAGTCTATATTTTTGTTTCCTGAACTTATTTAATATCTTTTTATTGGAACTTTGTTCCCTTTACTCTCTTTATCCATTTCCTCTGTACTTTTTCATGAGCCAGGAGTTATGATGAGGGTGGGTTAAGGATCATACTCCATGTCAGGGAATTAAAACAGATTAAGAAATGGGCAAAATATGGGATAGCTGGGGCCCAGTGGCAGAGCTGGGCTGGGATTAGAGGTTTGACTAGAGAGTGATCCCTAGTCATTCCTAAGTCCTTTCAGACTCATTAACCATGCCTCTTCCATAACCATCGGGTTCTGTGAAATAACTGTGCAGTAAGATGTGAGTACCTTGTTATTTGTTTTCAGTCTAGCATGAAAAACATTTTGATAAGGAGTTTTCTTATGTGATGCAAATTAAGGAGCTTGATAGTTAGCTTACAGAATTGCATTCTCTATCAAGAAATAAATGTTATGTCACTAAAATCTGAAATAGATGTTGCTATTGGAGCCCCACAAGAAGATGATTTGAGAGGTGCTATTTACATTTACAATGGCCGAGAAGATGGGATCGCATCAACCTTCTCACAGGTAGACACTATTCATTTGCAAATCTATTTTCAGAAGCTTCATTGCAGTTTCTTGTGTTATTGTAGACTTGTTTTTCTTAATTTTCTCTTCCAAATGCTGAAACTCACATTTTGCCATTTCCTGTAGTCACCTATATGGTCCGATTTTTTAGCTACTTAACAATGCTTTGATTTTGTTTTTGCTTTGGGGGCCAGAGTGGGCCACACCCAGTAGTGCTTAGGTGCTTGGTGCTTACTCTTGGTTCAATATTTGGGGGACCATATGTGATGTCAGGGATCTCAACTGGGTCTACCACATGCAAGGCAAGGGCCCAAGCCACTATAATATCTCTTCTGTCCTAAGATCTTGAATAATACTTTAAAACTCCCCCCCCCATTCCCACCCCTCATAAATAGGAGCTCTGGTTCATTTCCATTCTAGTTTCTCTGCAATCTATGAAAGATTTGTTTCTGTATTTCATCTACTTTGTGTTTTGAGTAATATCTATGCCAGTCCAAATAAGCTCATTTTCGTTCAGTTCACTAGGTATTATTTGTGGCTTCTGTTCCATAGTTCATGGAGAAGACACAAAAGAGCAAATCCTTCTCTGATGCCCTGCATTTGATTCAGCAGAGCACTAAAACTATTCTTTCAATAAAATCTATTGTAATCTTTTTGAATGTAATCTTTACATTCAAAAAGGCAGGGTCTTTCATTGGATATATAAAAACTCAACATACAGAGGCGTCGGTGGTGTCGGTATCCTTGTCAACACAAACTTAGTCACAAGCATTGATTCATTTGAATGCCTAACAACCCGAATCGGACGATTACACTTGAATAAATGTGGCTCACTACCGGCAGTTTCTATCTTTGTTGTCTATGCACCAACATCCAGTTATGGTGAAAAAGAAACTGAGAAATTCTACATGGAGCTGGAGAAATTCTATAAAGATCACACCTTCTACAAGATCATTGTCGGTGATTTTAATGCCAAGATAGGACCAAGAAGATCAGTCGATGAACTCCACATCGGAACCCATGGCCTGGAATGGAACGAACAGGGTGACAGACTGTCTGAGTTCATCATGTCAACCAAAACCTTCCATGGTAACTCACAATTCCAAAAGGCTGAATCTAAACGTTGGACATGGGAGTCTCCCGATGGATGGTTCCACAATGAAATAGACCACATCATATTCAATCGGCGGTTTTGCCTAACCGATGTTGCTGTTGTCCCAAAATTCCAAACGGGATCATACCACCGTCTTCTTCGTGCAAAATTCTACCTCACAGAACGAGGAGAAAAGAATGCAAGGTTTAAGAAGAGGACTCCCAGAACAACCACCAACTGGGAACTCTTTGGCTCTGTTGCGGCAACATGGGAAGATGCCGTCATTGACAACATTGATGAGGAATACGATCGAATGATTCAGCACCTCCATGATTGTGCAAGGAATGCCAAGAGAGAGATAACCACAAAAAACCGTCTTTCTTCGAACACTCTTGAACTTATTCGCCAACGTGGCCTGGCACGTGCCTCAGGCAACCACAAGCAAATGTCCGAACTGGCAAAACAGTGCAGAAAAGCCATCAAGGATGACCTCAAAAACAGGAGAGCAGCAGTACTGGTAGATGCAGCAGAAGCTGGGAAAAACATTCGTAATGCCCGCCTGTCCTTCACCAACTACAAAACCAAGATGACTGCCCTCCGACATCATGATGGATCTATCACATCTTCCAGAAGGGCAATGGAGAAGATTATTCATGACTTCTACTCAGATCTCTTTAATAGCCACATCCACTTGCCCACATACCACATACCACATGATGGATATGTCATTCCCAATGTTCTCCCTTCCGAAATCCAACATGCCATCTCGTCGGTAAAGAAACAAAAAGCACCTGGTCCAGACAAGATCAGACCTGAACACCTGAAGAACTTACCATCAGTACTCATCAATACATTAGCTCGACTCTTCACACGCTACCTGTCTGAATGCAAGGTTCCATCCCAATGGAAAACCAGCAAGACTGTACTACTATACAAGAAAGGAGACATCCACGACATTGCCAACTATCGCCCAATCTGCCTATTGTCTGTCATCTACAAACTATTCACTCGAGTCATCCTGAATAGGATTAGCAGAACACTAGATGAAGGACAACCATGTGAACAAGCTGGATTCCGAAAAGGATTCAGTACCATTGACCATATCCACACAATAACCAAGCTCATTGAGGTATCTCGGGAGTTCAAGATGCCGCTCTGTCTAACGTTCATTGATTTAAAGAAGGCCTTTGATTCTGTTGAGACGGAAGCGGTCATGGAAGCCCTAGCCAATCAGGGCGTACAAACTCAATACATCAGGATCCTTCGTGAGCTCTATTGCGGATTCACTACCATGATCTCACCATTCTACAAAGAAGTAATCATCCATATCAAGAGAGGGGTTCAGCAGGGTGATACCATTTCACCAAAACTCTTCAGTGCCACCCTCGAGAACATCATACGACGACTAGAATGGGAAAACATGGGAGTGAAGATAGATGGTCGGCAACTACACCACCTCCGCTTTGCTGATGACATCGTTCTAATAACACCAAACATCAGCCAAGCGGCACAAATGCTGGCGGACTTTGACCGTGAGTGTGGAGAGGTCGGACTACAGCTGAATCTTACGAAGACAATGTTTATGAGAAACAGCCTTGTTCCTGACGCTCCATTCGCTCTCAACGGAACCACCATCTCCGAATGCAACAGTTATATATACTTAGGTCGAGAAATCAACATGATGAATGACCTGGCACCTGAGTTACGCAGGAGGAAGAGAGCGGCTTGGAATGCCTTCAAGAGCATTGAAGAAATAACTAAAAGGACAAAGAACCTCCAGCTACGAGCACATCTCTTTGATTCCACTATTCTTCCTGCATTAACATATGCCTCAGAGACCTGGACCCTACGAAAACAGGATGAGAACACTATTCGGGTCTCTCAAAGAGGAATCGAAAGAACTATGCTTGGAATATCACGATTCACTCAAATGAGAGATAGAATCCGGAGTTCTGATCTTCGTCAACGCTCAAGAATCAGGGACGCTGTCTCATTTGCCAAGACATCAAAAATCAGATGGGCTGGACATGTAATGAGGTTTACAGACAACCGCTGGACTAGAGCCATTACTGATTGGATTCCACGGGACATCAAAAGATCACGTGGACGCCCACCTATAAGATGGTCAGACTTCTTCGTCAAGACCCTAAATGATCGGTTTGAGGCTCTACATGTTCCTAAAACGAACAGATACCATTGGGCTACGCTAGCACGCAACCGGGATGAATGGAGACGTTACTGGCACCCGCTCGAATAAATCGATGAATAACGGGGATTAAGTGATAAGATAAGTGATACAGAGATGTGTTCTGAAGAAACTTTTATGGAAGCATTACCTCACACTGTTATTTTTGATGTGGCAAAAGAGGTACATGGTTCTATGTATTTAATATTACAGCTATATCCTTGTATATCAAAAAGTAAATGATTCTCTGAGAATAAATAGCCTGAAACTTACAGATCAGTATCTGGACATGAAATTAAACACAGAATAGGAAGTATCTTGTTTAAAGCTGAGTAGTAGTCTTTATGAAGTGATTATAGATATCTTATTTTCCAAATTACTTGGCTCATATTTTATTTTAGTTAGGGAAATAAATTAAGAGCTGAAAGAAAACCCATTAATAGGGACTAAGAATAATTTTAGAAAATCTGTTTTAGTTTCCTTTTGTTCACAAAATAAATCATTTTTTTTCTAGCCACAAAATAGATGTTAGCTGGTCACCTCAATCTGGAAACATTTATCTTAGACATAAGTATTTGACATAACTAAAAAACACCTTGCAAATAAATGTGTCCAATTGGAAGTCTTGTTATTTAACTATACTGTTGCTTCTCTGAGGTATTTGGTGTGAGCAGCTGCTTCCCACCAACTTACTTATTTTTCAGAGAATTGAAGGAATTCAAATCAGCCAATCTCTAAGTATGTTTGGACAGTCAATATCTGGACAAATTGATGCAGATCATAATGGATATGTAGGTGAGTATAAAATTGTATTTTGTAAATTGGAATAAGCATTCTTGTAGATATTAATTTCCAAATACATAAAGCTGAAATTGAAGCATTCTAATTTGATTTTTTCTAAGTTCTTTTGAAGTCAAGGACTTAATGTCTCATTTCTTTTCAGAGAAATATAAAGCTGAAACAAAACATGATGATAATAAAAAGAAAAAAATATTTTTACTTTCAAGGGAGATTTCTGGGTAAATGTTGCTAGTTCAAAAATGGAATTATTTTAGTAAACCTATCTTTGTAACATAATTTTATCATAAAGATTTTATTTACAGTGTAAAGTGATAATGTTATCATGAATGAGTTGATCTAGACAATTGTGTTCTGAATCTAAGGAGTCATAAGTATTATTTTCTAATTTTCTGTAAGTAAATTGTAACTGTGTTTTGATACAGTTAAAAGGTGATGTGGTAAATATCTTTGACTGAAAAGTAATTCTCTTTGTTGAGCGATGATCATTAATCTGTGTTGTTTTTGTCTACCAGATATAGCAGTAGGTGCTTTTCGATCTAATTCTGCTATTATACTAAGGTGAGTTGATATCTTTCATTACTTAATGACAACTAAGTTTAATTATAAATGACGTGATAAATTTTCTAAATTAGTGGTAGTGACCTCATAATGTTATTTTTGGTATTCTGAAATTTAATTATGGAAATTTAGTATACAAAGAAGATTTCATTTGTAAAAAGATTATACATTCTATAAGGTATAACTGAATCATCAAAATCACTTTTTAGGGGGCTGGAGCAATAGTACAGCGGGTAGGGCATTTGCCTTGTATGTGGCTGATCCAGATTCGATTCCCAGCATCCTATATCGTCTACTGAGCACTTCCAGGAGTAATTCCTGAGTGCATAGTAACCCCTGAGCATCACTGGGTGTGACCCAAAAGCAAAAAAAAATCACTTTATAAAAATGAAAATAGAAGCTTTTTGTATACATGCACAGAGATATAGTTGAGTAAATATGTATAATAATAGAGTATTTCATGATATTACTTGGTTAGTGGAGAAGACAAAACAGTTTTCATAAGAAAAAAGAATTTGGGGCTTGGTTTTCAAGCTCCTTTTCTCCCTGAAACATGTCTCATTTGTTTGTCTCTTTTTGCTTGCTTTAATCTACTCTGGTGAAGCTGTCTCTGTCTCTGTCTCTCTCTATGTCTGTCTCTGTCTGTCTGTCTGTCTCTCTCTCTCTGTCTCTCTCTCTCTCTCACACACACACACACACACACACACCCTCTCATATTTTTGGGTGACATCTGGCCATAGTCAGGTGTTACTCCTGACTCCTCACTTGGGAATCACTCCCAGCAGGATGGGGAGTGGGGGGAGGGGGACCATTCAGGATGCTAGAAATAAAAACTCCCATCAGCCTTGTGCAGAACAAGGGCCCTATCCACTGTACTATCTCTCAGTGCCCACCCACCATGTTCTCTTTTGAACATTTCTTCTTATCACCCCTATCATCTTTCTAAGTAAGTTTCATTCAATAAAAACTCTCTTGTTTGACTAAAATAGTTCTGTAATTGACATTGCTAAATTTTAATCTTCTTCTTAGGACAAGACCTGTTGTGATTGTTGAAGCTTCTTTAAACCACCCTGAGTCAGTAAACAGAACAAAGTTTGACTGTGTTGAAAATGGATTACCTTCTGTGTGCATGGACCTAAAGCTCTGTTTCTCATATAAGGGCAAAGACGTTCCAGATTATATAGGTAATTGCCCCTTGCATAACGAATGCTTTATACTCAGTGCAAAGGTACTTCATTCATTAATATCCAGATCATCTTTGAGTCTTCGTTAGGTTTTGTTATGGAAATGCATCCGTATGTACATACATATATATATACATGTGTTTGTATATATATGTGTATGATATATATGATACACATATATCATACACATATATACACAAGATATATATATATATCTTTCACATCTTCTGGATTCTCATATTTTTCTTCAATGAATGGGACACATTATGGCAATTGTTTAGAAATTATGGCAAGAAAGCAGAAGTGTTGCTTCCTTTTTGTTTAAGGTGATCTAAATGAGTTAATCTTTCCGACTTCTTTTGAATAGAAAGAGTCTCAATGTTCCTTTTCTAGGATCCTAGGGCCTGAAGTTAGCCTAAGTTAGAAAACCTGAGGAGAGATTCTTTAAAAAAAAATTGAATCACCATGAGATAAATGGTTACAAAGTTGTTCATGATTGGGTTTCAGTCATACATTGTTCTAACACCCATCCCTTAAACTATGTACATTTACTACCAACAATGTCTCCAGTGAGAAGAGATTCTTCATGTTTTATCCTATTTAAGTTTTTGAAGAAGTTTATAGAGCCTAGAATCTGATTATTATTTACTGTAATTCAGCTCCTGAGACCCACCCATACTCATTTCCCTATACATAGGCAATTTTCCATTATCTGCTCCGGATAGTGTAGCTTTGATATACTTAAGTAAAATTGTGGTTAATCCAAGTTACATATGTGTGAATTTGCAAATATTTTTTTTTCTAGCAAGCTTAGTGTTACTGAATATTTTATATTTAAAATAATTTAAAAATACTTACTAATGAAACTGTGATTGAAGTATATTTGAATTTATCATTGCAATGTTCATAATTTACACAATTTATAAGAACACAAAAACAAACAGGAGTTTATTGTATTCTTGATCATATAGGGGTGATCTAAGCCAGTTTCTCATCCTTTTTCCACCTATTGACCTTTTCCCAAAATCATGTCCTTCCTGTGGCCCCCCACTGTCCCATTGTTGATTCCCTAGTCTCATACCATGCCTCCACGCACCATTTTAATACAGTTTTTTTTTTTTTGCTTTTTGGGTCATACCCGGCGATGCACAGGAGTTACTCCTGGTTCATGCACTCAGGAATTACTCCCGGAGGTGCTCGGGGGACCATATGGGATGCTGGGAATCGAACCTAGGTCAGCTGTGTGCAAGGCAAACACCCTACCCGCTGTGCCTTGCATTAATACAATTTTATCAGTGGTTCCAGTTCCTTATAATAGCCATCTATCCCCTGACTGAGAAATATTGATAGAAACACCATAGAAGGCAGCAAATACTTATAATATGTAGCGATCGACATGTAATATAGGTTTTAGTCTGAGGTAGCCTATACAGGGAAATATGTAAAGGGTATGGTATCTCTACTTTTGATCTGACTCATTTTTATTTTACTTTTTAATTTTTAAGTTTTTGGTCTCTGGGGCATGCTCAATTGTGTTCAGGGCCTACTCTTATTTCTGTGCTCAGGGATCACTCCTGTCAGGGCTCAGGAGACCAGATATGAGGCTGAGGATTAAACCTAAATGAGCTATGTGCAAGTCAAGTGCCCTACTTGCTGTACAAGCTCTCCAGACCCACATAAGACTCATTTTTAAAAGTGCTTTGCCCACATCCTCACAGTGTTGGACTCAATCTTAATTCAGGCATTAATTGATAGCATAATCCTAGTAACACTGTAACAGCATGTCTGTGATAAAAGATATACATTGATCACTTGACTTCCCATTAATCGTCGATTTGCTCGAGTGGGCACCAGTAACGTCTCCATTTGTCCCTGTCGCGTGCTAGTGTAGCCCAAAGGCGTCTGTTCGTTCTAGGAACACGAAAAGCCTCAAACCAATCATTCGTGATCGTTTATATACATTGAGTTAAACTAATGTTAAAAGAAACACATTGACTTAGATTTGTTTCCCTTTATGTGAAATCAGTGTTTATGGTGCTAGCAAGTTCATTGTGACTAGATTTTTTTTTAAAGTAAGAAAGCAAATATTTTAAACTCATAAATAATCAGCATATTGCAAAATCATCCCTTATGGTTGCCCTAAAATGACTACTTAGGAGAAATAATTCACATGGTAAGCATGTTAGATAAGAACCAAGGCATCTTACTCTACTGTGAGGTGATTTTTATTCAGAATTCACTTTTTGTTTAAACTCAGGGTGATGAACTTATCCATGGCTATTTCAGTTTTGTTAATTCTCTAGTGATCAGTTGGGGCTGCAGAGGTAAGCAGGGTACGTGGAGTGTTGAAGCACGGAGGGCCAAAACTCACTCAGGCCATTTGGAGCCGATTGACTTTTGCAGCCTCTTTTCATTGGGTTAGTGATCAAAACATCTAGCATACCTCAGAGTACATAAGATCACTTGATCACTTGACATACCATTACTCATCGATTTGCTCAAGCAGGCACCAGTAACATCTCCATTCATCCCTGTCACGTACTAGTGTAGCCCAATGGAGTCTGCTCATTCTAGGAACATGAAGAGCCTCAAACTATTCCTTCAGGGTCTTGACAAAGAAGTCTGACCATCTCATAGGTGGGCGGCCATGCCATCTTTTGAGTCCCGTGAAATCCAGTCGGTAATGGCTCTGGTCCAGCAAGCAGTTGTCTCCAAATTGCATTACGTGTCCAGCCCATATGATTTTCAACGCCTTGGCAAACAAGACAGCATCCCTGATTCTCTATCATTGACAGAGATGGGAACTCCAGATTTCTTCTGTCACTTGATACTTGAGTGAAGTGTGATACTCCAAACATAGCTCTTTCGATTCCTCTTTGGGAGACCCGAATAGCACTCTCATCCTGTTTTCATAGGACCCAGGTCTCTGAGGCATATGTTAATGCAGGAATCGAAGAGATGTGCCTGGAACTGGAGGTTCTTTGTCCTCTTAGCTATTTCTTTCATGCTCTTGAAGGTGTTCCATGCCTCTCTCTTCCTCCTGCACAACTCAGTTGCCAGATTGTTCATCATGTTGAGTTCTCGACCTACGTACACATAACTGCTGCGGTTGGAGATGTTTGTTCCATTGAGAGAAAATGGAATGTCAGGAACGAGACCGTTTCTCATGAACACTGTCTTCATGAGATTCAGCTGCAGTCTGACCTTTCTACACTCCTGGTCGAAGTTGGCCAGCATTTGTGCTGCTTGGCTAATTACATAAAATCAAAACACCTTAAAGTACATATTATTTTGTAGCCTAATGATGCACAACGTTACTGGTGAAGCAAATAAGACCACCTTGTAAATCTTCACATCCCACTTCCCATTAATTCACATCAAAATCTATGCAAGCTTGCCCAATAGCCCAGTAAGATATTTGTTTAACTTTCATCCAATCATAGCACAGTAAATCTATTACAGAAAGCAGCTGCATTAGGACATGCTGACCCCAACCCAGTTCACTCAGAGTTCCTAGCTGTTTGCAGCTGTGACACAGCCTTATTTGCAAGGCAAAGTCCCTAGAACTTCCTCATAACTCTGGTCAGGCTCCGACACAATTTCAGTTTTTCTGAGTTATAATGAAACTGTCATTAAAATTTTGAAGTCAGTTTATTTGGACTGTATTTTCTAAGTAAAGTGAAAGTTGACAACATACTCAAAACTTGTAAAAATAATATATTTCCTTGAAGTAAGTAAATTAATAAAAATCACCTGGATATGTATGTTACTCTTAAAACATAACACTTCAGGAGTTAAATATCATTTGTGAATTAATAGTTTCTTAAAATCAAGAGCTACTTTAGCAGACTGTCAGACCTAGCTTGGTTTTCAAGTAACTCATTTAGTTTGAGAAAAATGGTTCCTTCTTCTTGATAATATCTGGTTGGTTTAAAAATATTTCCCTGTTTTGTTTTTTATTGCATATTTAAGATCTCCTTTAGCACCTGATTATTTACTGTACATATCTAAAGTAAGTTCTTACCAAACTGGCAGAATATTTATTGAAAAAATGCCTATATTTACTTTTCCATAATTCAGCACTAGTCTGTCATGCTTGAAACAGAAAGAATAATTGCATTCTTTGACTGGAAAAGAGACATGTTTGAGTAAACTATTTATATAGCTTTGACTTTTGAACTATGCATTTTATATAAAACTCAGTAAATCAAAGGAATAATAGCAACTCCTCAGAAAGAAATGGAAATAAACAAAGCCAACAGTATGAAAAATCAGATATATAACTGTCACTGTTATCCCATTGTTCATCGATTTATTTGAGCGGGTGCCAGTAATGTCTATTCATCCCAGCCCTGAGATTTTAGCAGCCTCTTTTTACTCATCTTTCAGGATCAGGGGAATGAGATCTGTTATATTTACTGGTTTTAGCATATCGAATACACCACAGGAGCTTGCCAGGCTCTACCCGTGTGGGCAGGATACTCTTGGTAGACTGATGGGCTCTCCGAGAGGCATATATATATATATATATATATATATATATATACATATATATATATATATGTTTCTCTCTATGATTTGTTGCCTACTGTATGAACTCCATCAAACATGGTGTGGTAATTAGGACAATGGGTAGGAAGAGTCTTATGATGTCACGGCCGCGTGGTCCGGAAAGTGGCCTGGAATGTGGCAGTGATTGGATAGTGAAGGTCGGCTGCCAGGGCTGGGTCTCTTGGGGCGGGAGGACTCTTGCCCACCCCCCTCTGGTGCGCCCCCAGTGAAAACAGCTTGGTGCGGAGTCCCAGATATATAACTACAGAAGGAAAAACTTTCTCAAGTGACATCAAAGTGTCATACTCCTTTTACTCCCTTATTCAGATGTTGGAAAAAAAACACACTCAGATCTGAGATCTTACTCTGGACCTTAAAGTTATTAAACTGGTCTTGAAGTTTTAACTCATTCATATGTGAGAAGATTTGGCAAATAATCAAAGTTGTTAATACTGTTAAAAAATAGAAACATAGAGGACAGTTTGGTTTTTTTTATAAAATGTTTTTGAGATTTGTATTTTTTAATAATTTCTTCTATGATATTTCAGGTTAATATCTTAAAGCCATTGAACAAACAAACAGTAATATATTTATAGAATTTTGTGTAACTCTTGCTCATAAAAATAAAATGCTTTTAGATACATGTGTTAATTGTGATTCTCTTTACATCTTTTGCAGAGTTACTCTATAACATGAGTCTGGATGTGAACCGAAAGGCAGAGACCCCATCCAGGTTCCACTTTTCTTCTAATGGAAGTTCTGATGTGATAACAGGAAGCATAAAAGTATCACACAAAATAGCCAACTGTCACACCTATCAAGCATTTATGCGGGTAATTTCAACTAGTTTCTATTAAAGAATATACACACACGTCAGCATGTATACACACACAGAGTAAACACTTTATTCAATTTTTTATGTTTTTATTTTTCTTATTCTAGAGGATCTCCCAGGCAGTGTTAGGGGGACCTGGAGCTACTTGTAATGATAGTTGGCACTTTAGTGCCAGAGCCTGAGGATGTGCTGCTGCCTGGGAGGCATGGTGTCACAGATTCCCCTGGTCATCCTGCACTTCAGTGTATGATGGGGGTAGCTCCAGGGCCACACCTGGTCATGCTCAGAAGTCTCCAGACTTATAGCACTTGTTGCTCAACTGCCTGTGTGGTGCTGAGGAACAAATCCTGGATATGTTTTAGGCGTGTCCCCTAAGAGCTGTATTTTCTTCTGGGACTAAATTGTTACCTTTTTTATACTGCAATTTTTTTGTTCTTATTTATAGACTTGGTCAGAAATGTGCATTAAATAGTTCTGTTGAGCCTCAGATCTATTTGGGGAATAGGAGAATAAGTAGGAATGTTTTTTGGTTTGGTTTTTGATATGGCTCTGACAAAGCAGCAGAATCCAGCGTGATGCTTTAGGATTTTATCTTGTATCTGTGCCAGCATTGTTGGTGATGTCAGTGGGAACTTGCACAGTTGTGAGTGTGTGTGTGTGGAAGGGGGGGAGGAAGAAGGGTGCAATCATCTGTGGGCCAGGAAAATAGCTCTCATGATTGTTCATATCCTACCAAAGCATAACCACATTCAGATTTATTTTCTTTAAAACAATCATTCTCAAAATAATCATTATTTTTGTTTTGTATTGTTCCAATTTTATCATATGAAATAATGAAGATCATTTTCATAGGTAATGGAATCTTTCATCAGAAAAATCTGTTGACAGAAAAAATCCAAACTTCTCCCAGGATTTTTTTTTTTTTGAATTTCAAATAGTAGTCTCAGAACTTAATTTTCCCTTAAATACTTTATCCAAGCAAATATAAACAAGCATCCAGGCTCCAGTACAATACTAAATGCTAAGAGCATAATCCCTATGCTATTTTTCTTAACAATTTTTGTTGTTAGAATAAAGCATTAGAGTTTGAAGGCTAAAAAGCAGAATGATTTTAATATAATTTAAAATAATGATTATATATATTGTAGAGGATTAAAGAGGGTAAATTTTTATTTATTTATTTATTTATTGAATCGCTTTGGGAAAAGTTACAAAGCTTTCATGTTTAGGTCTCGGTCGTGCAAATATCAATCACAATTCCCTTTACCAATACTTATTTTTCACCACGAAGAACCGCAATAACCCCCCCACACACACCCCCAATGTCTGTGGGGCAGATGAGTTCTAGTTAACACTCTGTCTACTTTGACTAGCTTCATTGTTTCGATAAAAGTTGCACCATTATTATTTGTACCTTCATGTGTGCGGAGAGTGGTCTCAGCATGGTGGTGGCTGGTCCTGGAGGTCTTCGGCTGCCGGAGCCCTGGTCGGGGTGGGGAGGAAAGCTCAACCCGCTCCCCTCCAAGGGACCCCGGCGAGGAACAGCCAGGCGCAGGGGCAGGAGACTGACTGCACTGGTCTCGTCCGGGAGCTGCATTTTGTAGTCTCTGAGTCTTGGCCGCTGATGGGATTACACGGCGCCAGGGGGCCAGGTGGTGGGTGTGACCCCCGCCTACTGGAATTTGGAGGATCTGGGTGGAGGATGCTCGACTCCAATTCGAGTAGGCTTGGAGATCTCGGCCCCGGAACCCGCGTGGCTTTGTCCCTCTGCCAGTACCTTCATGTGTGCGGAGAGTGGTCTCAGCATGGTGGTGGCTGGTCCTGGAGGTCTTCGGCTGCCGGAGCCCTGGTCGGGGTGGGGAGGAAAGCTCAACCCGCTCCCCTCCAAGGGACCCCGGCGAGGAACAGCCAGGCGCAGGGGCAGGAGACTGACTGCACATGAAGGTACTGGCAGAGGGACAAAGCCACGCGGGTTCCGGGGCCGAGATCTCCAAGCCTACTCGAATTGGAGTCGAGCATCCTCCACCCAGATCCTCCAAATTCCAGTAGGCGGGGGTCACACCCACCACCTGGCCCCCTGGCGCCGTGTAATCCCATCAGCGGCCAAGACTCAGAGACTACAAAATGCAGCTCCCAGAACCGCGCAGCCGCATTCGCGGCCGCGCGACATCTTATCAGAACATCTTTTTATGATATCTCATTATCCCATTCCTACTCTGGACAAACTTGCAGGCTATCGAATATAGCCTGCCCACAGGGCAGAGTCTGGAAAACTCCCCGTGGCGCACCAAATATGCCAAATACCAGTAACAATGATGGGTCTCATTCTCCTATAAAGCCTTGAATATAATCTCAGGGCTAGGATGAAAGAGACGTTACTGGGGCCTGCTCGAGGCAATCAACGATTAACAGGATGATGAATGAATGAATGAATGAATTATTATTTAGAGAGCGATAGCACAGCGGGTAGGGCGTTCGCCTTACTAAGCGGCCAACATGGCCGACCCGAGTTCGATTCCTCCGCCCCTCTCGGAGAGCCTGGTAAGCTACCGAGAGTATTCGATATGCCAGACACAGTAACAACAAAGTCTCCAATGGAGACGTTACTGGGCCCGCTCGAGCAAATCGACGATCAACGGGAGGGCCTTTACCTTTACCTTACCCACCCCCCCAAATCAGCCATGCTGAAAAAGCATTGTGAAATGATTTGCTTTCTACAACTGGGTTCAAGAATTAAAAGATGTCTGGTTTTGGATTTCTGCTATTTTACTTATTAACCCTGGAAGTATTTCTACTGAGAGTCAGATAATTAAGAGATTGGTTTCTGTGCTCTGGAGTGATGGCCATGCCAGAGAGCCGCTCGTGGGGGGCAACTGGTGACCTCGGTAGGGCGTGAAGGATGGGCCGGAACGCCCCCCGTCAAAGAGGGTAAATTTTTAAATCCTGCTAATTTGTGATTTTTACTTAGGTTAGTCAATTTTGAGACTAACCTTGGGGCCATTTAAATGCAATAAGATGGACAAAATAAAGGTAATAATAGGAACAGAATTAGAACTTTCGAAATATGGTGTGTTGAATTTGTGTAAAAAAAGAAAATTAGTCTGATTTATTTAGTTCTATGTTTCTTTGCTTTGCTTCTTCTAGTAAGGGTTCATCAGATGAATACTTTCCTTGAAATAATTTTATAGTAGACAGGAGAGTTTACTAGAAATGTCCACATGTGTTGAGCATACACTTTTACTGTCACCCAGTCACTATGGTGTCCACTGCGGTAGTTTATAACCATTGACTTTGAACATTGTCATCAGTAGGAAACAAAATCATTTAGTTTCTGTGATTGGTACCTAGCAGTACTCTTTTAAAAAGATTGAACTGCATGTCTTCCAATAATTTTTTCTTTCCTCAATCTTTGCTTCTGTTGGGACATAGTATAACACATATATATATAATATATATAATATATACATATATATAGATTGAGTAAAGGCTAGTACACTTCTTTTGTAACACAAGGAAGAACACAAGGATTATAAATGTTCTATATGTGGCCCCAACGTTAGTCTCAAAATTGACTAACCTAAGCTATAGAAGCATTTGTCCCCACCTTGGATTCTGTCATTTAAGCAGATACGAAAATAGAATGATTGCCTTTTCTGTTCCCACAAGGATGGTATCCAGGGCATTCCAAAGCACTGCTGTATTTCTATAATCTGAAAATATAGGACATGTAACTAAAGAATTCTACATTTTTAATAATAATGTAAAATGAAAAGGCCTGGTGGTCAGGATGCGTGGATTGTTCCCTTCTTCCATAATATATATCCATCATTAATAGTTAATCTGCATAACAAACATTCTGCCTTAGCACTTGTTACAGTGCAGTGGGGTGACAGCATAATTATGTACTAAGGCTTTGAGCCCCCACCTCTCAGCAGACTCCCTGCCTGCTGCTTGAGCATTCTTGCCTAATATAGTTGTTTCTGTTGGATGTATTTCTCAATTTACCACTTACCTATATGTCTACTTCAGTAAATATTTTTTGAGTTCTTACATTGTGTCAGTTTGAGACACATGCAGAGTAGTGAATAAAACATGAAAATTTTCTTGCTCTTACTCGCTGGCACATTGGTACAGTGGGTAGGCACTTGCCTTGCACTCAGCTGACCTGAGTTGAATTCCCAGCGACCCATATGGCCCCTGAGCACAGAAATAATCCCTGAGTGTAGAGCCAGGAATAAGCCCTGAGCACCACTTGCTGGGTATGGCCCCAAACAAACTATAGTTTATATATATATACATATACATGCATATATATTCATGTGGTTACATGCACATAGATGTCTATATACACGCATACCTATATAATGCATACATATATATATAATGCATATATATAAAATTGTCTTTTATATAGATATAGTCTAGTGGGTGAGATAAGCAAATATATAATAAAAGTATATATTTTTTAGATGCTGTAGATGTTACAGCTTGTTAGAAGATAGTGATGCTAAAAGGCATAAAGGATAACAGTGTCGAAAGCTATGCAGCACCATAGAAGGAATGTAGACCTTCACTAGGAGACAATATTTGAGCCAATACTTGAAAGTATGAGAAGTTAACTATGAGTAGATTACATAATTTTCTCTAAGGAAACCTTTTTGGATAATTTTAGAAGATTAATCATAACAAGCAATACAAAATAAATCATTTAGGATATGCCATTGGGGCAAGCTTGGGTGGTGGTGGGAAAATTTGAAATAATGGTGGTGGGAAGGTGTAATGGTGGTGGGTTTGGTGTTAAAATTGTGAATGTTATAAATTATTGTTACAAAACCTTATAAAAAGAAAAATTAAATTAAAAACTATAAGTGGCTCTATAGAACAGTAGTTCTTAACTTATATATTATGCAACAGAATCACCAGGAGGGTTTGTTGATGCTAAAGTTGCTGAGTTAGTAACTCAGCAGATCTTCAGTGAGTAGATTGAGAATTTGCTAT